TGTTGTTTTTTTTTTTTTTTTAACATACTACCTACTTAAAAAAAAAATCAATGAAATACATGTATTTCAAGGCAAGATTATGGTAACACGCTATGATTTGACTTATGACTCAAAGCTAGAAAACTGGTGCAAGAAGAATGTACACATGTCTAATGGAAAAAGAAGTATTTCTTCTGATAAAGCACAAGGATACACAAAAAGTTATAGTAAATGCTTATTTAGGTCCTTTTTGGTATTTATGTTCTATTTTTTCAAACATTTTATCAATTTCTTTATAAGCCAATATTATTTTATTCAATAATTACTGAGCATCTATTGTATGTCAGATATTATGCAAGGCATTGGTGATAAAACCAAACTCTAGTACCAGTAGTGTTGAGAATACAAACATATAATTAGCTAATTAAAATACAAAGTGCACTGTGATCACTCTTTGATGAGCTTAAGAACAGGGTGCTATAAACTACTGGGGCATGTCTAAGTGGCTGAGTGAAGGAAGGCTAATCCAGAGGAAGTGATGTGTAAACTGAGGCATAGGACGGGGGATGAAGGAGATAGAAAACAGCATATGTAAAGGCCAAGAGTTGAGCAGCATGTCAAGTCCTTCAAAAGAGTGGAGCTTAGCATACCAGGAATGGGGCATAAGCAAGGAGCATGCTGACAAATAGGTGGAGATATAAGATCATGAAGGGCTTTCCAGGGTACACGAAATTTAGACTATTGTAGAAAAATAAAGGTAAACCAGAATCATTTGCAAATTAACATTTTAGAAAGACTCTCCAGAGGAAAAGTGGAAAATATATTGAAAGATCAAAGTAGAAGCAGAAATGTAGTTCAGAGCTGCTGAAATAATTTAAGAAGCCTGAACTAGTGCACTGGAAATGCTGAAATAGAGAAGTGGGCAGATTTGGAGATATACTTAGAAGGCAGAACCTACCCGACTTGAAATGGTATGAAAAGGAGAGAAGAATCAAGGATGATTCCTGGAAAACTGGTTGTATGATGGTGCCAACTACAGTGAGGGGTAGTGGCAGCTGTTGAGAGATGGTAGGTTCAGTATAATATATTGTGACTTTGAAGTACCTGAGGGATAGCCAAGAAAAGATATGTTTTTGGACCTAGTGACTGAGATCCAGGTTGGTGACAAAGATTTCGCCTATTCTCTAGGAAATGAGAGAGAATCTGAGAATAAAAAGGACCACAGGACTTTTCAGACAAAATTAAAGATGGATGCCATGATTTTTGAGAATATCAGAGTAATTTTTTTCTAGCTTTGCCTAGAGACTAGGTGCATATGTATAAAAAGGGAGGTAATTGGATTATTCACAACTAGGCTTTTTCCACATGGCTGTAACAGTTAAAAAACAAAATAGAGATGAAAAAGAGGATAACAGCATAAGAATGGATAAAATGAGCTGAAATGGGAAAGAGAATAAATAAAGAAACTAGAGAAATCTTTTAGGTCAAATAAGAGATTTAGAGTAGAATGGGGAGTAGAATTAGAACTAAAAATTTCAGACTTAATGAGAAAGAACCAGGATGATCCCATGAGGCCTAAGGAGTTGGACTGGAATGGATATATATGGCAACCAGTATTATGTAAAGAAAAGCATTTTATATCTAATACACTAAATTAAAAAGCAAACACCTAGAACAAGACAAAGATACTCATTTTTATTACTTCTTTTTGACATAGTACTAGAAGGCCTAGCCAGAGCTCCCTTTCTCATCCTATCAAGTAATCCAGAATAGCCAAAACAATCTTGAAAAAGAAAAACAAAGTTGTGGGGCAACTGGCTGGCTCAGTCAGAGGAGCATGTGACTCTTAATCTTGGGGTTGTGAGTTTGAGCCCCACACTGAGGGCAGACATTACTTAAATAAATAAAATAAAACTTTAAAAAGAAAAGCAAACTGGAGGTCTCACAGTTCCTGATTTCAAATTTTACTACAAAGCTACAATAATAAAAAACCAGTGTCATAATGGCATAAAGACAAAAATATAGACCAATGGAATAGAAAGTCTAAACCTTCACACATATGCTCAAATTATTTTTGATAATTTTTGACCATTGAATGGTCAAAAGACATTTCAACAAATGATGCTGAGAAAACAGACTATCCACATGCAAAAAAATGAAGTTGGACCCCTACCTCAGGCCATATACAAGAACTAACTCAAAATGGGTCAAAGATGTAAATATATGACCTAAAATTATAAAACTCTGAAAGAAACCATAGGGAAAAAGCTTCAATACATTGAATTTGGCAGTGATTTCTTGCATATGATACCAAAAGTACTAGGCAACAAAAGATAAAATAAGTAAGGTGGACTTCATCAAAACTCTTGTGCATCAAAGGACACTAACAAAAGAAAGACAATTCACAGGATGGGAGAAAATATTTGCAAATCAACTATATGACAAGGGACTGACATCTAAAATATTTAAAGAATTCCTACAACTTACCAACAAAAATACAAACAACTCAATTTAAAAATGGGCAAAAGACACAAAGGAGATACACAAATGGTCGATAATCACATGAAAAGACGTTCAAAATCACCGGGAAATGCATATTAAAACTACAAAGAGATACCACTTCACACTCATTAGGACCTAATTATCACAAATACAGAAAATAACAAGTGTTGGTAAAGATGTGAAGAAATTAGAACACTTGTTCCTGGATGATAGTAATGTATAATGGTGTAGCCACTGTGGAAAACAGTATGGTGATCCCTCAAAACATTCAACAAAGAATTACCATGTGACTGAGCAATTCTACTTCTGGGTAGATGCTCAAAAGCGAAAGCAAGGACTCAAAGAAACATTTGTTACCTAAACTCATAGGAAGATTAACCACAACAGACAAAAGGGGAAAGCAATCCAAGTGTTCATAGATGGATATTTGGATAAACAGAATGTGGTATATACATATAACACATTATCTAGTTTTAAAAAGGAAGGAGATTCTGACACATACTAACAGCATGGATGATCCTTGAAAATAAGTCAGTCACAAAAGGACAAATATAAAATTCCACTTACATGAAACACTTAGAATAGTAAAATTCATGAAGGCAGAAAGTAGAATTATGATTGCCAGAAGCCTGGCGGGATGGAGGAATGAAGAATTAGGTAACAATTCAGAGTTTTAGTTGGGGAAGAAGAAAAAGTTCTAGATATGAATAGTGGTGATGACTAAACAATGTGAATGTAGTAGATGCCACAGAACTACATACTTAAAAATGGTTAAAATGGTAAATTTTACGTTTTGTATATTTTGGTACAACAAAAACAAAAAACAAAAAATATAAAGGTAAATCTTAATATCCTTAAATTTGGCAATGGTTTCTTAGGTATGACACCAAAAGCACAACCAACAAAACTAAAAATAGGGATGCCTAGATGGCTCAGTGGTTGAGCATCTGCCTTCCGCTCAGGGCATGATCCTGGGATCCGGGATGGAATCCTGTATCCGTGTGGAGCCTGCTTCTCCCTCTGCCTGTGTCTCTGCCTCTCTCTCTGTGTGTGTGTCTCTCATGAATGAATAAATATATCTTTTAAAAAACAGATAAACTGAACTTAAATCAAGATTAGAGTGCACTTTGCAGCAAAGTGCACTATCAAAAAGTGAAAAGAACCCACAGAAAGGGAGAAGATACCTGCAAATCATGTGTCTGACAATGGTCTACTAACCAGAATATAAAAAGAACTCTCACATCTTAACAAAAAGAAAAACTCATTTTAAAAAGTGGTGAAAGACTAGAATAAATATTTCTCCAAAGGAGATACAGACTTTCTTAAAAAGTACATGAAAAGGGGGGATCTCTGGGTGGCTCAGCGGTTTAGCGCCTGCCTTTGGCCCAGGGTGTGATCCTGGAGTCCCGGGATCGAGTCCTGCATCGGCTCCCGGCATGGAGCCTGCTTCTCCCTCCTCCTGTGTCTCTGCCTCTCTCACTCTCTCTCTATGTCTATCATAAATAAATAAATAAATAAATAAATAAATAAATAAATAAATAAATCTTTTAAAAAAAAGTACATGAAAAGTTATCAACACCACTAGTTTTTAGGGAAATGCAGATCAAAATCAAGCAAGATGTGCTATAACTTTGCCTCCACTACTATGGCTATTAGAAAAGAAAATAAGTATTGGCAAAGCAGGGGAGAAATTAGAACCCTTATGCGTTGCTGGTGGGAATGTAAAATGATGTGATTCCTATGGAAATAGTTTGGAGGTTCCTCAAAAACATCAAATTACCATACAACCCTGAATTTCTACTCTTAGGTGCAGAACCAAAAGAAGCAAACACAAGCATTCAAACAAAAACACACATACATAAATGGTTCATAGCAATTAACTCACAACTGCCAAAAAATGGAAATAACCCAACTGTCCATCAACTGATGAAATGATAACATGTGGTATATCTATATACCGGATTAAAACAATGAAGTACTGTTACATGCTACGTGGATAAACCTTGAAAAACATCATGCTAAGTGAAAGAAGCCACTGATTATTACTGGTTATATGAAATATCCAGAATAGGCAAATCCATTGACACAGAAAGCAGATTAGTTGTTGCTAAGGTCTGTGATAAGGAGGACATGAGGGGGACTCTTAGTAAGGACCAGGTTCCTTGGGATACCTGGGTGGCTCAGCGGTGAAGCGTCTGCCTTCAGGTCAGGGTGTGATTCCAGAGTCCCAGGATCAAGTCCCACATGGGATCCCTGCACCAAGTCTGCTCCTCCCTCTGTTTATGTCCCTGCCTCTCTCTCTCAGTGTCTCTCATGAATAAATAAAAATATTTTTTTAAAAAAGGACCAGGTTCCTTTTGGGGTGATGAAAATGTGAAACAAAGTGATAGTCACACAACACTGTTAAGTGTATGAATGCCAATGAACTGTATATTTTAAAGTGGTTAATATGGTGAGTTTTATGTTGTATGAATTTTATCTCAATTTTTTGTAAAAAGCTCCCTTTTCGTCACTCTTACCTGACAGTTAATATCAGCTTTATATCGTAGCAAGACTGTAACTAGTTCTTTATGTCCTCGATCACATGCCCAATGGAGTAGAGTTCTACCCTGAAAAAAGAAATGAATGTTATTCCTGTTATGAGGCCAAGTAAAACATACTTATTTTTTGGTTGAGAATTGTATATATATTTTATTTTTTTTTCATTTGAGTAAACTGACGCACAATGTTACATTAGTTTCAGGTGTACAACATAGTGATTCAACTTCTCTATACATTATGCTGTGCTCACCACAAGTGTAGCTGCCATCTGTCACCATGCAATGCTATTACATATCACTGACTATATATCTTATGCTGTGCCTTTTACTCCTTTGATTTATTCATTCCACAACTAAAAGTCTATCTCCCATTCCCCTTCACCCATTTTTCCCATACCCTCAACCCCCTTCCCTCTGACAACCATCAGTTTTTTTCTGTGTATTTATAGATCTTATTCTGCTTTTTGTTTATTCATGTTTCACTTTTTAGATTCCACATATGAGTGAAATCCTATGGTATTTGTCTTTATCAGTCTGATTTATTTCACTTAGCATAATACCTTCTAGATCCATCCATTTTGCCTTGCCAAATGGCAAGATCTTATCTTTTTTTTAAAGGAGTGTAATATTTGCATGCTCATGCATGTTTGTGTGTACACATATAGGTGTATCACACCTCCATTACCCATTATCTATCAATGGACACTTAGGCTACTTCCATATCTTGGCTACTGTATGTAATTCTGCAATAGACATGGGGGTGCATTTACCTTTTCAAATTAGTGTTTTTGTTTTCTTTGGCTAAGTACCCAGCAGTGAAATTATTGGATCATACAGTATTTTTTTTGATCATATAGTATCTCTCTTTTTTTTTTTTTTTTTTTTTTTGAGGAACCTCCATACTGTTTTCCACAGTCACTGCACCAATTCACATTCCCACCAAAAATGCCGGAAGGTTCCTTTTTCTCCACGTCCTCAACAACACTTATTATTTATTGTGTTTTTTATTTTAACCATTCTGACAAGTGTAAGATAATATCTCACTGTGGTTTTAGATCTACATTTTGTGATGGTTATTGATGTTGAGCATCTTTTCAATTGTCTATTAGCCATCTACATGTCTGGGAAAATGTCTATTCAGGTCCTCTGCCCACTTTTTAATTTGGTTATTTTTTTGGTGTTGAGGCATATGAACTCTTTATATATTTTTAGATATTAACCCCTCATTGGATATATCACTTGGAAATATCTTTTCCCATTCAGTAGGTTGCCTTTTTGTTTTGCTGATGGTTTCCTTTGCTGTGCAAAAGCTTCTTATTTTGATACATTCTCAAAAGTTGATTTTTGCTTTTGTTTCCCTCACTTTAGGATACTTATCTAGAAAAATGTTGCTATGGCCTAAGTCAGAGAAATTACTACCTGTGTTCTCTTCTAGGATTTTTATGGCTTCAGGTCTCACAGGCTTTAATCCATTTTGAGTTTATTTTTGCAGATGGTGTGAGGTAGTGGTCCACTTTTTTTTTCTTTCACTTTTATTCTTTTACATGTAGCTGTCTACTTTTCTTAGCACCATTTATTGAAGAAACTATCTTTTCCCTATTGTAATCTTTGCCTTTGTCACAGATTGACCATATGAGCATGGGTTTATATTTGGGCTCTCTATTCCATTCATCTATGTGTCTATTTTGTGCAAATACCATACCATTTTTATGACTACAGTTTTGTAGTGTTATCTTGAACCCTGGAATTAGGATATCTGCAGCTTTTTCTTTCTCAAGATTGCTTTAGCTATTCAGGCTCTTTTGTGGTTCCACCCAAATTTTAGGATTATTTTTTTCTCATTCTGTGAAAAATATTGTTGGTATTCTGATAGGGATTGCACTGAATCTGTAGCTTGCTCTGGGTGGTATGAACACTTTAACAATATTGGTTCTTTCAATCCAAGAGCAGGGAATATACATTTGTTTGTGTTGTCTTTAATTTCTTTCATCAATGTTTTATAGTTTTTAGAGTACAGGTCTTTATCCTCACAGTTAAGTTTATTCCTAGGTATTTTATTACTTTTGGTGCAATTGTAAATGAAATTTTTTCTTAATTTCTTTTTTTTTGTTATTAGTGTATAGAAATGCTGATTTCTGAGTATTAATTTTGTATCTTACAACTTCACTGAATTCGTTTATCAGTTCTAGTAGCTTTCTGGTGGAGCCTTTAGGGTTTTCTATGTATGTCTATTCTATGTATGTATTCTATGTATGTCTATTCTATGTCATCTGCAAATAGGGACACTTTAACCTCTTCCTTACCAGTATGGATGGATGCCTTTTATTTCTTTTTTTTTTTAAGATTTTATTTATTTATTCATGAGAAACACAGAGACAGAGAGAGGCAGAGACACAGGCAGAGGGAGAAGCAGGCTCCATGCAGGGAGCCGATGTGGGACTCGATCCCGGAATTCCAAGATCACGCCCTGGGCTGAAGGCAGAGCTAAACCACTGAGTCACCCAGGGATCCCCTATTTCTTTTTCTTGTATAATTGCTATGGCTAGGATTTCCAGTACTATATTGAATAAAGTGGTAACAGTGGACATCCTTGTCCAGCTCTCAGTTTTTCACCATTGAGTATGGTGTTAATTGTAGGTCTTTCATATGTGGCCTTTATTATGTTGAGGTATTTTCCCTCTAAACCCACTTTGTTGAGTTCCTATCATGAACAGATGTCAAATTTTGTCAAATGCTTTTTCTGCATCTATTAAGATGATCATATGATTTTCATCCTTCATTTTATTGATGTAGTGTATCACATTGGTTTGTGAATACTGAACCATCCTTGCATTCTCAGAATAAATCTCAGAGTATATCTCACTTGATTGTGGTAAATGATCCTTTCAATGTATTTTCTTTCAATGTATTGTGAATGTGGTTTAGTAATATTTTGTTGAGGATTTTTGCATCTATGTTTATCAGGGATATTTGACTTGTAGTTTTCTTTTTTACTGGTGTCTTTGCCCAATTTTGGTATCAGGGTAATAATGGTCTCATAGAATGTATTTGAAAGGTTTCCTTCCTCTTCTATTTTTTAGAACAGTTTAAGGATAATAGGTATTGACTCTTCTTTAAATGTTTGATAGAATTCACCTGTGGATCCATCTGGTTCTAGACATTTGTATTTTGGTAGTTTTTTGATTACCAATTCAATTTTGTTAATAGATTTTCAGATTTTCTATTTCTTCTTGATTTAGTTTTGGAAGGTTATATGTTTCTAGGAATTTATCCATTTTTTCTAGGTTGTCCAAATTGTTGGCATATAATTTTTCACAGTAGTATCTTAAAATACTTTGTATTTCTATGGTGTCAGCTGTTACTTCTCCTTTGTTTCTGACTTTATTTGGGCCATTCCCCACCCAATGAGTATGATTAAAAGTTATCAATTTTGTTTATCTTTTCAAAGAACCTGCTCCTGGGAGCCCAACGTGGGATTCGATCCCAGATCTCCAGGATTGCGCCCTGGGCCAAAGGCAGGCGCCAAACCACTGCGCCACCCAGGGATCCCCAGCCTCTGTTCTTCATTATTTCCTTTCTTCTACTCACCTTGGCTTTGTTCTTCTTTTTCTAGTTCTTTTAAGTGTAAGGTTAGATTGTTTGAGTTTTTTCTTGTTTCTTGAGGCAGGCCTATATTGCTGTACACTTTCTTCTAAGAACTGCATTCCAAAGATTTTGGATCTTTGTGTTTTCATTTTTATTTGTCTCCATGTTTTTTATTTCTTCTTTGATTTCTTCACTGACCCACTGGTTGTTTAGCCTCCATAAGTTTGGGTTTTTTTTTTTCCAGTTTTTTTCGTGTAATCTATCTCTTATGTTTCAGACTGTTGTGATCAGAAAAAAACGCATGGTGAGATTTCATATTCTTAAATTAATTGAGACTTGTTTTGTGGCCTAACATGTGATCTATTCTGGATTATGTTCCATGAGCACTTCAAAAGAATGTGTATTCTGTTTCCTTTGAATGGAATGTTCAGTATATATGTGTAATATCCATCTAATATAATGTATCATTCAATGACATTGTTTCTTTATTGATTTTGTCTAAATTTATTCATTGATGTAAATGGGGTGTTAAATCCCCTATTACTTTATTGCCATCACTTTCTCTCTTTATGTCCATTAATATTTAATTTATGTATTTAGGTGCTCCAAAGTTGGGTCCAGAGATATTTACAATTCTTCTATCTTCTTGTTGGATTGATCCCTTTATCATTATGTAATGCTCTTCTTTGTATTAACAATCTTTGTTTTAAAGTCTATTTTGTCTGATTTAAGTATTGCTACCCCAGCCTCTTCCTTGTTTCCATTTGCATGGCAAACGTTTTTCCATCTCTTCACTTTTCAGTCTGTATGTGTCTTTAGATCCAAGGTGACTCTCTTGAAGGCAACATATAGATGGGCCTTATTTTTTTTTTTTTTATCCATTCTGCCATCCCGTGTCTTTTGATTGCAGCATTTTGGTCATTCAAGTAATTATTAATAGGTATGTACTAAAAGATATAATGTTTTAAGAAAGAAAAGTAATATGTATAACTGTAGGTTAATTATTTTAAGAATACCTGATATAAAATGCTCTATGGGAAAGGCAGTAGACTTTTCTAAATCAATTGGAAATCCTGCATTCTATTTCTGGAATCCATTATGTACTAGCCCAATAACTTACTTCAGCCTGATCCATTTCCTCACCCACAGAGTGAAAAAAAGGATAATACTAAAAACAGTAACATCAACAGTATTTGTTGAATGAATGAACTATAAGATAATGCCCTGTTAATTTTAAAGAGCTTTATAAATGTAAAAAATAGTTTTCTTAATTTATTATGTTCACTTCTGGTGAAAGAAATCTTACGAATCAAATGTGAGTACTTAAACTTAGGTAGAAATCACACTCAGTACATATGAATTAATTCATATTCCTTAAAATATAAGAAAATTTAGTCAGTTTGAAACTAGGCATTGCCCATTAATATTCCAAGTTTACATTCTGAAACATTAAAAAAAAACACTACTATAGTCTGCTTGTGTCT